ATATATATACTAGTCTTATCTTTAGCCAGTTGCTCATGTGGAAATATTATTTATGCACATCCTGCCTATGGTGAGATATGCAATTTTTATTAACGATACTGTCAATTACGTACTCTACAGCAAACACATTCATCTCATAAAAGAAAAAACTGATATATTCTTCACTGATTTAACTACAATAAAAAACATGTCTTATGCTGTTATCATAGCCCTACTGGGAATTTGAAAACAGTAGGAATTTAGAGGGGATTTGAACAAAACTTGTTGTCATTCTAACAAAACTTAGAAGGCATAGATAGTATAAAATTATTCTTTGCAGTTAGTACCAACATAAATTGCCTCACACAATCTAGTAATTAGAATCTATTCAAAGATCCACTGAAATCATAGATTCTACAAACAACCATTAATACACCAAATACAGAAGCCCTGCTATAGATGAACTAATAATAATGCAAACAACTATAGTTTTTTTTCTGTTGATACATTTACCAGAAGCTTCAATTACCACATAGCACATAACAAATGTAGCTGTGACTTCATTACTATTACAAAACACAATTTAATTATAATAGAAGTAATAAAGTAAATATGACAAAAAAGTATGCCTATGTTCCAAATGCTCGTAACAAAACAAAAGCTATGTGGCACATTATTATAAAGACTGCAAGACCAACTAACTACAAAAATACATAACATCGACCAGTGGTAGCCAACATATTCATTGAATACTTATTAAAAAATTGAAGAAAAATTAATCTCAACCCTCTAAACTATACCAATAATAACCAAACACTAATGTAATACAAATCATCGATTCCATACTTTTCTTTATGAATCCACTCACCCTGAAATTTTAAAAATCTTTGGACAAATGGAGAATAAATTCTCAGCACATCTGGACAACATTCGAGATTTTATTACTAAACAAAGTGTTTCATTTACAGATTGTCCAGGGAAGAAATTTCAAAAATAACCTCTTACAACAAATGTATTTTGTCAAGTAAACAGCATGGATATTCCGCATCGCTGAACCACAATAAGCACTTAAAAATTGGTTTGAAAAAGTATTGTACTTCAGCTTCTGGATCAATGACCCCCCCATCTCAATCAGGTTTTCGTCCCAAATTCTGAGATGGCCCCTTGTTTTGCTTTTAAACATAAGTGTAACTTCAAATTAACTTCTCTTTATTGCAAGCCACGTAGTTTTTATTGTTTTGTCATAAATACATTTTTAAAAAGTTCAAAAACTACTTTCTATGCAAAAATTTTCATTGCAGAAACATAATTACTCCAGAAATATGTAAATTGTTTTGTGAGATGAATATATTTGTTCACCAAGAAAAGTTAACATAAATAAAAAAAGCACCAAATTTATACAATTTGATTGCTCTTTTATGAACAGTTCAACTATTCTCTCATATTTGCAATTGCTTCCTAAGAAGGCATTGGCATCTTCCTAAATGTATTCAATATGGCAAAAATAAAACATTGTTTAAAAAGGGCAATAGTTATGATCCAATGAACAACAGACTTTTATCGCTGCCATCAGGATTTTTAAAAATTCTGGAAAGTCTTTTCAACAATAGATTCAGTTTCTCAAAGCAAATAATGTCCTCACAAATATACAACATGGCTCTAGAAGTAATAGATCCACAGACCCAGTCATCTTCTTTTGAAATAAAATACTTGTTGCACTAAATCAGAAGGAAATTCCCATTGGCCTTTTCTTAGATTTGTCAAAAGCCTTTGACATTATTGACCATCACATACTTTTAGCAAAACTATAAATGCTAGGGATCTGAGTCATTGCGGACGATCTAATCAAAGCCAAGTAGTTACCCTCCTGCATATTAAAGAAATTAAGTCCTATTACTATTACCCTCAGATGATAAATTTTGGGGTCCCACAAGGATCCATCCTGGAGCCAAAACTATTCCTTATGTTCATAAGTGGCATGCCTTTGGCTTTAAGAAACAACAAAATAATTTTGTTTGGTGCCACTAATATAATCATCAGAGCACAATCATTAGAAAAATAAACTCGTTCACTTACTTTGCATGCACGAAAAATGGTTTGAAGTCGACAAACTCATCACAAACACCAGCAAGATAGTATAAATGTCATGAATCCCTGATCAAAAGAAAACTTCTCATAGCATTTGTTCATAAACAATAATCCTGTAATGGTACTTCAAGAAACTATCTTCCTCAGTCTCACAATTCAAGAAAACCTAAAATGGAATTTAATTTTATTGATGATGGATTAAAAATAGGGAGAGGGCAAGGTGGATTCTTTGAAATCAATAGTGTATGTTTGCGGAAAATTAGTGTTTGTCCTAAAACATGTTATTTATTCATCAATATTGACTTTGCCATCTTCAAAGTAGGTCCTTTGAGATATAATACATTTGTATAGCGGTTTCCAGTGTGGGTTAGCTGGTCCCCTAAAGTGCGGGGGGGGGATAGGGGACGCCCGGCCAGATTTGTCTGGTGGGTACCGGGGAAATTAAAAATTCTGGCTGGACCAAAACTAGCGAAGAGGACGGCAAGGGCTCAGAAGACGGAAGAGGCGGAAGACTTTACAGACTCTCTTCTCTCAAGAAACTACTACCATGCAGAAGATGATGGCTCATCAAAGATTAGAGAAAGGAATCCTTGAAAAAAAAATCCCTTTTCCTCTAAGTTGAGGCTTGAGATGTTGGCCCTGTACCCCATCGCTCAGAAAAAGACTAAATATGCACGAGTCCTAAGCAATAAGTCTCGAAACTACGCTAGTTTCCGACGACGACTTGGCCTTTAATATAGGTATACGAATTTTGGAACATGGAATCTGCAAGGCATAGCCACAAAGGAATCGGAGTGTTTAAAGAATTAGACTGAATTAAATTTAGACGTTGCCCTACCTGAAACTAAAAAGAAAAGGAAGGGTTTGGAAGAGATTCAAAATTTCGTGCACATATACAGCAAAGAAAACAGAGCAAAGGATACATTGCCACATCCAAATCTTTAAAACATCACATAAAAATGGGATGGTATAAATGAAAAACATCACGAATCGATCTACGTCTAAAGGGGTACGGTATAGTATCCCACGTAATTTCCGCCAATTCGCCCACGGGCAGGGCAACTGATACCGAAATAATTATTTTTTTACCAACTTGTCGAACCAACTGAACCAAATTGGAAACAGAAAGGAAATATATTTAATGGGCCTAGGCAGATGTGTGAAGTGTTATGAAGAACTTCTACAGGCACACCATTTAGAATACCACGCTTTATACCAGCAGGAGAATACATCAGAGAATCATGCAGTATATATCACTAATAGAAGTTGAGAAAGTTGTGAAAAGCTTCAAAAGTGGTACAGCTCCTGGACCTCATGAGATAAATATGGACCTAATACAATCAGCTCCATCGATATTGTTCTAACCACTTTCGGAATTATTTAATGCGTGCCTTGGGGATCATGGGATACAAGAAGTCTTAAAGTGGGTTACATCTCTAATAAATTTAAAATAAGAGATAAGGAGGAATTCTCCAATTACCGTGGTATAACCGTCCTAAGTTCCCGTGGTAAAATTATTAAAAACATATTGTAAAATGAAATAAATTAAATTGAAAAACAAAGTGGCTTTCGAGCAGGTAGATCCTGCATAGTTAAGATATGTATCATCCGACAAGTTACGAATAAGCGGCTGTAGAATAACCTTGAGACACATCTAGTCTATATTGACTAGCACAAAGCATACGACAGTGTCCCTCTTTCAAAATTGTGGATGGCCTTGGAAAATTAACACATTAATATATTCGGGCAATATCGCTTATGTCAAGTTAGGAAATAGCATGTCAAAAGAAATAAAGATAATAAAGGGCTAAGACAGGGGTGTTGCATAACACCAACCCTGTTCAAAATCTTCTCTAGGAGATGCTCTAAAAAACTGGAAGATAAAATGTGAAAGGATGGGAATAAAATTAAATGACTAAATTTTGCAGATGGCTAAGTGTATTCGCAGAAGATGAAGACGATGCACATTATATGTTAAGGAAATTAAATGAGGAAAATGGGGCTTGAAAATTAATTTCAAAAAAGGCGGAGTACATGGTGATATGAGGGACAAGAAAGGATTTACTAACGGAAGATGGTTCTGTTGTTAGTTATACAGATGGCTTAGGTCCGATATTCAGGGTTAACTCTGAATTTTCGAAAATTACAAAATTAATTCTTCTTTTTTTTAGGCTGTGGCCTGTCTTTTTAAACAAAGGAAATGTATTTTAAAACACCTGTCGTTTCATGTAACAACTTTCACGAGTGCACATTCTACATAGTTAGGGCTACCATTAATTTATTAAGTTTCCATTGTGTTCTTGGACGACCCACTATCCTTATCTTAGCTTTTTTTAAAGATATGGCTTATTCTATATTGAGTGGTTGAACCTTCTGTATGTCTACAAAGCACATATATGCAGGTTTATTGAACTCCAAAGATTTCTCAACAATTTGTCTGATGATGAAGATCGCGTGATTCCATGATCTTCCTCTTTTAAATTCTTGTTCTTCTCTCCATTCTATTAAGCCTTCTAATACATGTGTGATAGTTTTTGTTGTTAGCTCGGTAGTAATATTTAGAAGATTGATTCCGCTACAGTTATTCGAGCCTAACGTATTTCCTTTCTTGAAAAGCGGGATTAGAATGCTCGTTTTCCATTCCTCTGGTATTCTGCACTGCTTATATATGCTTTGCATAAACTTGACTAGTTCTTTGTTGTAGTGATGGTCCTTCATATCTTAATACTTCATTATATACTCCATCTTCTGCAGGCGACTTTCTATTTTTCAATTAGGGTATTGTTTGTATTAACAGTTTCTCTGAAAGCTCAAACTCTTTGGTGAATGTGTCGATAATGACACTTTTTGGAAAATATTATTAATTTTCGTACAATATTGCGAGCAATTTGTGCAATTTTAAAAAATTACAAAAAGAACATTTTCTCAAAAACGGCTCTAAATTTTTTTCTTTAAACTTTTGGTAGGGATAGTGCCAAATACGACTTAAACGCCATATTGCTCTATTCTTTTGTTTTTTCAAACATTGCAAAAATTATTTTTTGGACTTGTCTCTCACGTTTTTAATATTTATATTAGCGGCAATTTGTTCACATTATTATATTTATGAGTATATGTGCTTTAAGTAATGTCATACAAAGTTTCTCGAAAACTCAACCGTTTCCTGTGAAAACAAAATTCCGCATTTTCAGAAACGCTCAAACGCCATTACCTCAAAAAAGGCTCCAAACGCTTTTTTCAAACGAACGGATAGTGTTAATTGCATTGTTTAATATGACGTAAAGTTTGTTCACCCCCCTCCCAATAAAAGATCCGAAATCTCGTCTCTGTCAATGACAATGTTATAATTGACAATATGAGACCCATTTTAGTATTAGAAATTGTTAAAAAAAAAAAAGAAAAAAAAAGGAGTATAATTCTGAGCTTGGAATGCCTCTGCAGTTTAAATATTTATATATTTCTTAATATGAGACAATTTGCCTATAAGTATTACAATATACTAAATTATAAATCAAAATTCTTATATTATAAAGTAATTCTCTTATAAAATCTCATTCATATACAAACATTTTACTTAATTCTTATAAATAATTGATTTAATGTATATAAATTAATACAGCATTCAGTTTACTGTCAAGTTACATGTTTGGTTAGGATTAAAAATGCTGTGAAATAATTTCTCAAATTTAAGGGCAAATTATTACATATTTGTGACTGAAAATCAGGATCTAAAATTCATGAAAGTAATCTAGATACTGACCACCAATTTATACAAAAAATTAATAAGACACTATAATCCCTCGGGAGATTGGGCATAATGATATTAAATTATATCACAGTATTAAATTACTTAGAGGTTAAAAAGGATCTAGAAGCCCTATGTGAAGTACAGCCATTCTAATGTTTCAATTTTGTTAATATTCCTACAAAGATAAAGCCAAACCAGACTATAAATAATAGATCAAGACATTATGTTGATGAAGAGAAATATTGCTGGCAATTTACTCTTAATCACAATATAAATATTTTTGATGTTCATTTTGCATGGCATATAGAATGCAAGTGATCCTCACTGAAGGCGGGGCTGAGTTCAAAAATAATTTGAAGCTAATCCTTTCTGTAACAAATTACAGTGGCCACCAATCTCTTAACAGGACAATTGGAAGGGATGATTGTTGTAGAAATGGACAGAATATTGAAGGAAAGTTCGTAAGTTCTTCCTTTTATTTCTAGTTTTGGATTCCTTTGCTTCAAGAAGTCTAAATGGAGTGCTCCCTGAGAGCTTTATTTGGATTTTGACAAATTATAATTTTCTGCATTTCTAATCTACATCATTAGTTTTTCCACAAATAAGGCTATCACCTTCAAACAATTGGGTATATTCCATTTCAATTTTGGCAAGTACTCAATAAGTTCTTCCATAGAAATATTTTAGTAATTGCTATTACACCTCTATCTAAATTTCCATTATGAGTCTTGCCTTTCTTTAGTTTATTCTTGCCTTTGAACCTTTTTTTTACAATTAATTAGGACATCGTGTTTACAATTTCATTATGAGTAGTTTCCAATAACTCAATTATTTTCTTACGTCGTAATATTTCAAATCTTAACAGGGTTGTAAATGACGTTACAGTTCGTATTCTTCTACTCGAAATGACAGATGGTGTAATATGACAGATGAGTATTAAAAAAGCCTGGACATTGAGAAATAGGTACATTGTCCCTTATGTGGAAAAATAATGAAACATTAAAAGAAATCAATGTGATATAACACGTTATTTGCTCCTACAGCAGTAAAGTCGTAGTAAACAACGAGATAGTAGCGCGTACTTGTACTAGCCAATTATATTGTTGGTTCCCTTCTATAAGTTAACAACTTTAGTGAATATAATGCCTATATGTAATCCGATATTCCGACTACACTTTAGGCGAGATTCAGGGCTGTCAATACATCATAAATTAACTTCAATAGACCTTATCGCGCTGAAGAATAAGTTCTGTTCAAGTAGTCCTCACTAAAAATGTATCTAGCTTCCCGCTTTCTGACATTTGCAAGTGACAGAACACAGGAGTGCATGAAAACCAACAGTCCTGCAAAACATATGATAGAAACTTACAAACGTTGCGTTGAAGTTTTATCTGTCCGCCTAATTAGTTTATTACAGTCAATTGCAGATTGATTGCAGACTGCACCACAAGTAGTCAAAGTATTTCACGGCTCGATTCCATTTCCGGTTCCGGCGACAATGACGTTCCAGGAAGTGGCCATCTTTGCAGATTTGTGCTTGTATGTTGTATAGAAACTATACTGTGGGTTTGGTAGAATATCAAAATGATATTTTTGGGGGTGAATTGTTTGTTATTCGTGCGTCGCAACAACTTTTGATTTATTTCAAATTCGAGGGCAATAAAAATATTTGCTGATACGTTTTAAATAAATGTAATGCATTGCGATATTGAAATGTAACTGCAGGAATCAACTAATAAGGAGTTGTCATCGAGGCTGTGAAATGCAACGCTGTGCTTGGAATACGTTTCGAGTGTATTATTTGATGTATCATCGTTTACAAAATGCTGTTTAACAGCTGTTGCTTGGGCCGCACTGCTTGTTAATACTAGAAGATCTGGTATTACGAACTTCTAATTTATAACCTCTCAAAATGAAGAAACTTTTTTCAAAGATTGACAATACGACGAAGGAGCCGAATAGTTATGTCGGCAAGGTATTTGTCGTTGGGCGAGTGTCAGTGACAGTAGAAGATGTTTTGGCGGAAGGTAGGTCCTTTCTTTCTCAATGGAAGACCCAATTTGATTGCTACAATGTAGGGACGTTTCACCATTCTTTCTGTCATTGCTTCTCGATATAAGAACATTTTTATTATCTTTTTTATGAACGCCTGTCAAATGTTTGTATATTTGTATTGATCGCGACATTTAGCTCGTTCAGTACATTCCGAACTTCCCGAAACCGTGGGCGTTCGCTTTAACAGGAGAATGTATCCTGCATTTTTCAGGCGCAATACATTTCGTTTCTCGAGTGTGCTGCTCTTTTAATACCTGAATTTTTTCGATGCTGAAAGGGTTATTACTTTTGAGTGGTTAATTATATCTCAAGTATTCCCATAGTTTTGTTAAAGACAATTTAATAAAGCATTCTCAGTGTGTAATCATCTTAAGCTTGATATAAAATCTGATATGTCTTCTTTTGTAGGAGGCTTTGCAGTTGTGTTCCTTGTGAAAGCTAATAGTGGAAATGCTCGTTATGCATTGAAGCGTATGTATGTTAATAATGAGCATGACTTAAATGTTGCAAAAAGAGAAATTCAAATTGCTGTAAGTTTACTGACTTTTAAAAATTTAATTTTAATTTAGTATAAAAAAATCTTGCACATTTTTCATTAAATTTCATTTAATTGCAGAGTAATTTAAGTGGTCACAAAAATATTATCGGTTATGTAGACTCAAGTCTTACTCATACTGGTAATGGTGTATATGAAGTTCTGTTGTTAATGCCGTATTGTAAGACACATGTTCTTCAAATGATGAATAGCAGGTTAGTGAAAACAGTGATAAATAACTAGTTTTTTTAAATGTCAATTCAGTTACAAATGAACTTCAATGTTTACTGTAGGTTACAATCTGGATTCAGTGAAACTGAAGTTTTACAAATGTTTTGTGATATGTGTGAAGCAGTATCACGTTTGCATCATTGTCAAACACCTATAATTCACCGCGATTTGAAGGTAATGTGAAATGTACTCTAAGAAATGTCATTATGTAAATGAGTATAATGATTTATTTAGTCATGCACTGGACGTCAATCAGCTGTTGCGGTTACATCCAATCGGGGGCTCATGTGTCGGTACAGTAATGTCAATGTGCCAATTGGATCAAACGGTGAACAGCTGATTTACTTCAAATGCATGGTTAAATAAATCCTAGTATAAAATAAGAAATATATATTCACTGGCCTTAGATATTAAAGCTTGACACAGTATTTATTAGTATTATTATTCCTGGTGTAACATTAAATGGATTCTTTTGCCTTTTTCCCTTTGCATGTGACATAGGAGGAAAACCCTGTTTCATCTCTAATTTTTAGAATTTGAGTAGTATCAGTTTTGTCCTTTTGTTATAGGTCATGTATCTTTACTTTTAGTCACACAGATATGATTAAAAAGCAATGAAGTAGGATCAGAAAAAGGTCATTACATTGGCAATCTATAATTCTTGGATTAATTGATATGTGTGAAACAACCAAATAAAACTTTCAACCGTGTTGAAATCAAACAAAAAGTAAATGTTAAAAATGTTTAATTACCAGAATGCACTCCATATTCTTGTAATGTAGTTCACTTTTCTCTTAACACAGTTTTGTTTGCAGTTAATGTTTATACAAATGACAAAACTGAAGTCCTATTTTAATCAATAAAAGGAACATGAATGCAACCAGAAATGCAAGTTGTTATATTGTATATTTTTTAGTCTTTTACTCCTCTGTGGGGAAATTCATGTTTTCAGTCTAGTAAATGTACATTTATTCCAAAACTATTTTTACACAGTACAGTGCATTAGTAGAGTCTTTTAGTATTTATGTCCTAAGGGTAATGTTATGTCTTTTGTTCTTGGTCATTTAAATTATTATTTTATCTGAAGGGGTATAATTGGGTGTTATTTTCCATAGTGTATTTCTGTAATTTTTTGTTTTCCTGTCTCCCATAAGATTGTCACATTTCTAATTGCAAAATTATTAGGTAAAAAATTAATAAGAAAGTTACCGATGTGGAAATTGTGGGTGGTTTTCTCAGGCTTCTCTCATTCCATTGCTGGCACAGTGTCATCACCCTTTCTTCAGTCTCCAGCAACCCCCATCTAGGCCACAAATTGTCCAATATAAATAGTGTCTTGTGACAGATCATCAGCTGTGATGTGGTTATCTGTTCAGAATCTTAAGTATCAAAAATTAAATGCATAACGAAGCTCCTGATTGGACTATCATTTCATAACTGATGATCTGTCACAAGACACTATTTAAATCAGACAGTCTGATGATCTGTCTCATCAGACTCATACTCCCATGAACATCCAGGTGCCAGTTTAAAAATACCCATTGTGGCACATCCCTCAGTCACATACCAGAATGGATGATGACATGGTAATTCAAATTTGATTCATTGTGATATGAAGTGTTGGTCGAGCCACAATTTTGTGATTTAAATATACATGCTTAGGATTAAATCCCATGTTCACCTTTAGCCCAGCAACTGCCATTACTATGTTACCTAGGGTGCCTCCCCATTCTTCATTTTTTCTTCATGTGGTACTTTCATCCTTATTCCTCCATAAGAAGAAGAGGGAAGTATAATCAGCAATAACATTTTCTTTCAGGTGGAGAATATTTTGTTGAGTGAAAGTGGACATTATGTTCTCTGTGACTTTGGATCAGCAACTGGGAAAGTTCTAAATCCACAAATACAAGGTGTTCCTGCTGTCGAAGATGAAATTAAAAAGTACACTACTTTGTCTTACCGAGCACCTGAAATGGTTGATCTATACTCAGGGAGGCCAATTACAACAAAAGCAGATATATGGGTGAGTTGTGCTATTTTGTAAAATCTTTGATATTTTGAAAATGTTTTGCTGCTTGATGCTTTCAAAAAAATGCATGAACGTGAGATGTAAGTTAGGTTTTATTGTGTGAGGAATGTCATTTCTGACATTAAGACATGTTTGTTCAAAACTCTCTGCCAGTGTCAATGGTCTGTAAACAACACTATCTCCTCAAAAACCCATTTTTCCCAAGAATGTGAATAGTCTTCTATGAGCAAGTTGAACATGAAATTGATTGCTACACTTCAATGAAAAACTTAAGTTCATTGACACTTTGTCAGCTGGGATACCATCATCTAATCAGGAGCTTGTCACTAAGTGATACCACTATACATGGTAGCTGAAATTGTAATGGTACATATTCGGAATATAATAATTATTTCGTGAATTCATTGTAAAAAAATATGAGAAGGTTGGTGCCATGTTGTTGCATAGCCTCTTCAAATTGTCACTACCGACATATTGACATAACTATATTATTATTTTCTGTTCCATACAGTGATAGGATATAGATTTTTTTGTGGTAAACTCTTTTGAATTTTAATAACAGTGAAATTTATGTTTTTAAGGAATATTTCATTAACTTATTTTGAGAAATATATTTATGCAACAGTATAAATTATAAATAAATAGCTCTTCCCAATTCGAGAACATAAAATAAATTTATAATTTTTAGTAAACCCTAATTCAAAAGGTACAAATACTTTTCTATACTTTTTTTTTTCTCCTTTTTCTTCTAGTGCTGAATAATAATACATAATATTTTTCCCAGGCCTTAGGTTGTCTTCTTTATAAACTGTGTTTTTTCTCATTGCCATTTGGAGAAAGCACTCTCGCCATTCAGAGCGGCAATTTCACCATTCCTGATAATTCTAGATATTCCAAAGGTGTTCATTGCCTTATAAGTATGTATAAACATATTTTTAAAGTCATAATGCTCTTATTTATAAAGAATGCTTGTAGGCAGTTGATTAAACTGTATTTTGTTCTTAGGATACATGCTTGAACCTGATCAAGACAAAAGGCCAGATATATTTCAGGTGTCATTTGTGGCATTTTCTCTTCAAGGGAAAGATTGTCCTGTGCAAAATTTACATGTAAGTTTTCTTTTATCAAGTAACGTCAATGATTTATTAAATTTTATGCAAGGTAATTTCATAATTTAATTGTAATTAAAAAATCTCTCTTTTTAGAAATCACCCCTTCCTGTTGTTGATCAATTACCAGTTCCACAATTAGAGAGTGAATCAAAAAGGACTGCTGTCAAAGTTACAAAGCAGACTGTTGCACCTCTAGTTGAAGGGACAAGTGTGGCGCCAAGACAACGTCCCAAGGGTGGGCAGCCTCTCCCTGTAGGTGTTTTGCCTTTGCCTCTCGCTTCTCAACATGCCCCACCCAGTAGCTCTGGTCGTCGACCGGTTGCTCCTCTTCCTGTGAATGCTGTTTCACAGTCACCTGTGGCAGCAAATGGTGCTTCTGTGATAAATAGTGATATTCCTGTTGGTTCCGTAAATGTTCCGATTGTAGCATCTTGTCAGCCATCTACACAGGCAGCGTTTGGATCTAATCCAACTGTTGCACATCAACCTCCTTCTCAGCTTTCTTTTGCCTGTACGCTTCCATCAAGTAATACTACTTCTCAAACATTTTTCCCTTCACCTGTGGCAGCACCTGCTGGTTTTGATGCTAGAATTCCTAGCCATCCAGTCATTCCTTCTATACAAGGTCCTTCAATTAATCAGACTTGTCTTGGACAAACTCCTGGAAACTGTGGTGAAAAAAGAGAGAAGAAAGAATCCTTAGAAGCCCTTTTTCCTCCGTCAGGTGAGTGTATTAGTTATTCTTTTTATTTGTGGAGAAAATGTAATTTCTTCACTGAGATGTAAAGTAATGTACTTAGTTGGATCGAATTTATATACACCAAAAACTACAAGGTCATAGTATAAAACTTATTAAGTCTAGGCATAATTGAATACAAAACAAAAATCCTCTGAGCTACCGAGTTGTTGATACTTGGAATATTCTACCTGAGAATTCAGTAATAGTGTGTCGTCTTCACTCCTTCAGAAGGGCTTATGGTCATCTCACGGCAGAACCACTGTCTTTAATGACATCTCAAAAAAAGGGGGGGGGGGGGTTGATCAGCCTAACTAGTCCTCAACATTGAAGGTCAGTGAACAATTTGGAATAGAGAATCCTTGAAAATAGACACAATTATTCCTTAGTGTTAGTCTCATATTTATGAATTATTTATTCTGAAAGTAAAAAGTTAAGAATTGCCAGAGATCATTAAGACATCAATAAACACAGAAACAAACATTCTTAAAAATGACTCTTAATACAAAAGCAAATTTTTACATATTATTTTTGAAAAATTGAAAAACAAGAAATCTTTTTAACAGTTTAAAGTATTACCAACCCTGTAATTCTCAAATAATAATTACTTCCCTATGAAAGTAATAAATTTTATTTGTACATAGGACAAAATGTAATTTCTTTGCAGATATTATTTTGAAAACATCGCAATTAAGTAGATACTTTCAAATTAATATTATTAATTTTTATTTTGTTTAAAAAGTACAACAGTCTTAAGTGTTATAGGTATCTAAGGTTCATATTAGAAGTATTGCAATGCAGTAACAAATACAAAGTAAGAGACAAAACAGTAATGATGGTTATAAAATAAAGAAGCATAATACAAAATAAAATAAATTTAGTAAAACTTATTTAATCTTTGTTTAATGGTTTTAGAAAATTATTATATACTAAAACTCAAATAGCCACAAGTTCTTAATTATAATATGCAAGTATAATAGCAGAGACATAAATTGAGAAGCACAAAAAATTTCTTGAAGTAACTTTAAATTTCAAATATTACATGGATTTGAATATTCAGCAAATTGATCCCTCATTGCGGCAGAATCAGTCTTGTAAGAAGTTTATATATTAAGAGTATTTCTTATTTGGTATTGGTGTTGGGTTACATTTTGTAAGGATATGCTGTTGTATAAATAAAATACACCATCAAGTTTACATTAAAAAAATCACATGATACATAAACTATAATTGATTCCATGATTGACCAACCAATACCCAATAATTCATCAGTTAAGGATTGAATATTTAAACCGCAAAAATCATACACCAGATGGTCTTAAATTTTGCAATAATTGAGATTATCGGAAAGATTCATATCAACTAATAGAGATGGATGAAATCTATCACAATTTATCGTAGGATTAGTATTTTCCATCACAATAAAATTGAGGTCAGACTCAAAACATAAACCTAATAACTCTGAATGACAATTTAATTTTGTATTAATTTCAAGCGAGTTAGGATAGATAAAACAGGCAGAGTCACTTGTACAAATTTATCTGATTTTCACTGTTAACTCTAAATTTTTGAAAATTGCAAAAGATTGATTTTTTTCTTTCTCAGTCCTCCTACAACTACTTCCTAAAAAAATTGAAGATAGAGATTTCTCCTTCAAAAGAAATTTGTTCTCCATATTCAGTTCTTTCAATAAGGTCATGCTCAGTGGCATAACTTTTGGGCCCACAATGCGGGCAGAGACGGATGTAGGAGGGCATATTTTTAGGGGATGTTTTTATTATAAAGGTACTAACACTACTTTTTGTTATACTTCGCTATACACTTCTATAAAGGGTCCCCAGAAACAAAATTTCAAGCAAGCTCGCACTCATTTTGTTACACTTCTGGTCATGTACATTTTTTTGAAACTTTTAGTAGTTTTCGTGCAATTTTAAAAAATAGCCTAAAAAAGATTTTCTGAAAATGGCTCTAATTTTTTTTTAAACTTTGGTAGGGATTGTGCTAAATGCATGATGTGAGAAGCCATAAATACTATTTTGCTTCTTCTTCTTTTCTTTCTTTTTTCTTTCATTTAGCCTCTCACATTGTTAACAATTACATTAGCGATGATTACATTATTTCATTTATAAGTACATGTGCTTTAAATGATGTATACAATTTTCACACAAACTCAAAACCTTGCATTTTCAAATTGTGCATTTTCAGAAATGCTCAAGCTGCATTTTCCAAAAAATATCTCAAATACCTGCTAATTTGTCCTTCAAACTCTTTGAATGGTAGTGCTAATTGTACTGTTTACTATGGTATAAAGTTCATTTTGAATTTTGATGGATATTCTTTTATTTAAAAATGACCCAAATAGGTTTAAATATTGGCTCATGCAATTCATGAGCACATTTCCAGTGGTGTGTAAACACAATTGCATTTGGAAGTTACAGTGCTTCAAAGAACCTGTAATAATGTTTTTCAAAACCACAAAATAAAATTTCTTGAGAAAGAGACTCAAATTTTACATTTGCACTAGAGCTTAAGCTGTTTTGTCTTTAAAAAAATGCTCCAAATTTTTGAATGAAAATTTCCATATTGGAGGTTTTACCCTTCCTTAATACTCTTTACTAGTAATTTTTTGAATCAACCATTGGTAAACAAAAAAAAAAAAAAGAAATTGAGAAAACTTCAAAAATTGTATTTTGGGTCAGAGGTGAAGGGCAGCTGGCAAGAATATGTCGCAAGTCCAAAAAGCTAGCTCAGACCAATTAAATTAGATTACTTCGAGAAAGTCTGCCATTTTGTAGCACATCTGTTTATGAATTTGTTATAAATCTTAACAATGCAAAATCTTGTAATTTTATAGATTCTGCATTATGTAGGTGCCTAAAACAGTGTATTTTGTGATTGTTCATAAAAAATGCATTATATGCACAGGATTCTTTCAAGTATTGTAACCGTATTAGTTTGAGGAGGTAGTGAGAAATGTGAAAAATGCACAATATGAAATTAAGTGTTTGCTGAAAGTCATAATTATATTCTATAATCCTAATGATGTCTTAAAACTGTTGAAATTATTTATGCTTCTTCATTATATTTTTATCTCAGCTATAATTTCTATGCTTGTTCAATTAATAGTTAATAGAAGAAAATTTTAACTTGTAATTATTCCTAGAAAACTTCAATGGGTTATGAAATTTCAAGTTGTTTGTTTGTGTGTGTGTGTTTTTAATTTTATTTTTGTTTATTTTTTTCCCTCCCTCCAGAGTCAGTTTTATTTACTATAAGTTATGTGTAAACGATAGACACATATTTGTTGGTCATACTATATATTGTAAGAAACTTTGTGCCTGATGTTTGAGGGACATGATGACATTGATATTGGTTTACCAGTGTTACAACATGGCTTTGCCACCAATTCTGAAACAATAAATTATGGGTATAGAGTGTCATACCATCTAAGTGCTCTGCCGTGCATTTATGATGCCCAACATCAAAATTTTACCTAATTAAAAGTTTTTAGGCTGTAAAGGTATTGGACTGAATAATACCAAAACTATTGGACAGGAATCGAGTATTCGCTTTGTATTCGCCTATGTAAAATAATGTAGTGCACTTGAGACACAAGCAATAAAGCCTAACAAAATTATCTTCGAAGGCGCAACTGCCATCCCTTAAAATTGTACAACATTAGGTTACTGTTTGAATAAAAGTTAATAGCAGGTTTCTGTAAGTAGTAGTCCCGTGTGGTGACAAAGCTGCTCTGAAAAGTGAATTCCGAAATGTAATCTTTATTATTTTTCCATTTTCTCTCTGTATTTCTCTAAAAGTATACTTCTACCTTGTCTTCCTTTATGTAGCAGTTCCTTTATGTTCCTTATATTTCTTTATGTATGACTATGTGCAATAGGGAGGAGTAAATAGAAAAGTAAACTTTGAATGAACCTTTCAATTTTGGTTTTAATAATTTACGGTAGTTATTATTAGTGTTGAGTCTTTTTCTTTTGTTTCTTTTTTAAGGATTTCCAGACCCTTTCCGAGATGACAGTAATGTTGCTGAATCGGGTCCTCCTCAAGGACCTCCACCTGTTCCACCGCCAGCATTGACGCTTCCATCTGCCAATACAAAATCTGGAGCTCACAAATTAGAATCAGTTTCACAGTGTATCGCAACTGCAACTCCACCGAGCTCACCTACTTTAGCTCCTCCAAAAGGTCATCGCCGAAATATGAGTGATACGTCAGCTTTTAACAAGTGAGTAATTGTTTTTCATTACTTACACTTGCAGCAATTTTATTACTTCATTATTTTTTTTATGATAGAACCCAGTCAATGATGATGTACCCTGTGTGCAAATGCAATGATTTAAGGGTTATTTGGAAGTGCTATGAATAGAGTACACTTTAAGTTATAAGTTAATGCAAAAACAAAGTAAATGACCCCTAAAAAATAAATTAGCTCTCCATTTACTGACCTTGAAAGCAAGAGCCCTTGATTTTAAACCACAACTAGCTTTAGGTTGATGCTAGTTCTCTAGTATGTGCTAAAAGGAAACCTGCTAAAACAAAAGTACAACCAGAATTATCAGGGGGAGGCAGCTGCCATATATATAAATCACAGGTGTCAAAGGCCAATTATGGCCCAATTGTAGACATTATAAAAATACAAAAGTTTTAAATGATTAATATAAGATTCCTTCTTAGGTCCACATAAACAGTTTCTACTTTGTGAATCCTTGTTCTAAAATCTGTACAAAGTAATGGCTTTATACCTGGGCCCAAATTTAAATTCCTCTGCCCAAAACTGTCCTGCAAATATTCTAATATTGCTTAGCGGTTATTAACAAGTAGCACATTCCACATCCATCTGTAGTATTGAGTGTGAGATTTATGTGTTTGCAAGAAGTATTTTGGCATAAAAATAAGAGTATCAACTGATGTATATAGTGAGCTCTAGTCAGATTAGTTTAGATTGTGTTTTAACTAGAAATTTAGGATCAACAGAGTGGAATTAGACAGTTCTTACCCTATTTCTGACAAGCCTTAAAAATGTTCCTCCTTTTGTTTCATATTATCAGTTATTTCTCACCACCATCACAATCTTCTATCCTAGCCACCGTAAGTTGGCTAACATGGACTTCTGCTAATTTGAGAATTAGAAAAATTAGGATTTTAGCAATAATACATACACTGGTTGTACCTGGGCAAATATCCTGCATGTTGTAAATATTTGTGAAAGTGAAAATAGCGAAACTTTGAATGGGCAGCCCTTGGTACTGCGTATTACTGTATATGGAGCAGAAAGTGTATGGGTGAACATTCTATTGTTTCTAACTGTCTATTGACAAACGGAAAGACAGTATTAAACCTACAAAAATATATTAGAATATCCAAAAGAGTCTCCTTTGAAGATAGTGGCCTTAGAAACTTAACTAGCCTTGGAGGCATGAAAATAAATTTATTGACAAATTTTAATGGCTTTCAGAAAAGTTTGATTCATTTTGGTAGATTTGATCACTTCTCCTCCCTAGATATTCATGAAAGACTGAAATAGTGTCTACTTAAATTCTGCTTTAAGAGGTTACAAAAAGAATTGGGATAGTTTGTATGAATTCTCATGTACACATTCTTCCTCTTGTTTTAAAGGTTAAAGGTAGAAGATTTTATTACGATGAAAATATAATAGAAATAGATTTATGTACAAAAACAAACCTTTGTAAATGGAAAATAATGATCTGAAGGGAAATAAGGAACCTTTATTGTACCAAACACATGCAGAACCTTTCAATGAAATCTCATCAAATTCCTTAGAACTTCAAGATAACCAGAAGGCAAAAGTTGTAATTACAACTGAATGAGATTTTGTTACATGTAAATAAACAATATATATTATAAAAAGGCAGTTCTTTTGCAGCCATCAAGACATTTCAATTTCATTTACTTAATTTGAAGGAATGTGTGGTATATTAGAATTTCACACAAATTAGGATATATTTTGATTTCTGTAAGAAAAAAACATTTAATAACATCTTATCACTGAAGCAGCCAAATAGTGGCTGGCTCGGTATTGCAATTTGTATTTCCAAACAATGTTCAGAAGCCATCAAAGAAAATTTAATGTTTTGGAGTGTGCCCTGTTTTAATGAAAACTTCCCTATTCTTACTGACACCTGGTTACTGTCAAATTTTGAATTGAGTGAAATGAGTATTCATTTAATTATTTTTTATTTCCCAGAGTGTTTGCTAATGAAACCAGTCAGTTTCTTGCCCCATATGAAGCATCAGTAAAATCAAGATCTGGCTCAAATAGTCCACCTGACAATTCAGATGCACCATCTCGAACTTCTAACATTCCAGAATCAAGTAGGCAACATGTTGGAGTTTCTGCATCTCATGTAAGTACTTTTTTTTACGTAGAAAGTTGATGATTCAGCATAAAAATATTACTTCAGTAATGCTGTATTTTGGAATAAACTTTAATGGGTTATAAGGAAGTTGAATGAGCTTCTTAGTTTAGTATAACTTTGGAGTTAGAACAACAAAATGATAAATGAAGCCTACAAATCTGTTTATCGTAACTAAAATATGAAAGCTAAAAGGCTTGTAAAAATGTCAAATGAATATTAAAAAGCATTTTATTCTAATACTGAAATTTACATGGAAGAAAACTTCATCTTCATAATCTTGATTGCCAATAAAGTGGAGTGGAATGTGTGGGGAGGGGTGGATGTTAGTTTTTCTTCTTCCCTTCTCTTCACCTTTCTTCTTCCTTCATTTTCTCCTCCTCTTCTCCTTTTTCTCTTGTTTTTCTTTTCTTCCCTCCTCCCTCCTCTTCACCTTTCCTCTTCCTTCGTTTACCCCTCTTCTCCCTTTCATCTTCTCAATTTCTTCTTTCCTCGTCCCCTCTTCCTTTCTCTTTTGTTATTCTTCTCTTCTTTTTTTTATTTTCTTCTCCTTTTAATCCTCTACTTCACCTATTTTTATTCTCTTCTCCCTTGCCGCCTCTTCGTATTTTGAAATATTCTATACTGAATCAAAAGATTGTGATCCTCGTGCTTGTAATGTTATTCTTTATGGTATATAAGAACTTGTCTTCTGAACAAACTTTGTTGGATGATAGAAAGGCAGGTACATTTTAAATGATATTATCAATATTAATGATCACATAATAATCATCAGAGTGGGTAATATCTGTAACCAAAGGTTCCCAGCAGGATTTGGTACTTAGGAGAATAATCTGAGGCTTTTTGAAGCAACTCTTTAAAGTTCTGGTATTGCTCTTGGTCTTACATAACAGATCTAAAATCTCAATGAATCTCGTGGATCATAACATCTCAACGAAACTGCACTAATGGCCAGTTGGATTTCTTGTAGCAGTTCATAACAAATAGTACAGTACAATTATAATTCTGGTACAGAATTTATATTTGTTTTTATTTAGTTGAACTGATATTATTGATGTTCATTTTCCTCCAAATTTACCATATGAATTAGTTTGTTAGTCTACTGAACTTGATCATTGTTCAAAAGATTTCCATTAGCTAAATTTATTTTGATATATAATTTTAATTTATCTCATATTGAGCGGAAGTAGGCAATTCTGGAGAACAATGTAATTACCACAATTTGGTTGGTGGTGAAATCCTGGCTATCTCACAGCTTGTGCAGTCTATCAATTATTTAAATTTAACTCTAGTAAATATTGCAAATGGGGAAGGAAAAACTCTCAATTTATTGTTACTCTTATCGTTGTGTATTGAAATGACTTCACCAATAGTTACCTGCAACCCCTATTATCCAGCACAAGAGAGTACTTTTTCTCTTAATCTAAGCTTTAAGTTTACAAATATGTTAAATTATAGGTATAGTTTTCACATAGCCAACTATGTTGCTATTAATAATTATGTGGTATCACTTAATTGACGATCTTTTCCAAAAATTCACTTCAAATCGCTTTATCTTTCCTTTATGATAAATTGTATAAAATAATCGATAAGTGTACCAAAAATATTATCCTCAGTTCTTTATATCTACTATGGTATTCAAATGAGTTAAAGTTGTTATTGAGAGAGAACATTAATGCTCAGTATTTATAAAACAATCCATTTAAGATTTTGATTACAATAAGTTTTCTTCAATTTGGAAAACATGTAAAAGGAAAGCTAGAGAAGACTATACTGATTCTATTAACTGAACTGAAAGGAATATTTATTTATAAAAAATAAAGCCAGCAGGTATACATCCAATTCCAGGCTTACCAAAAAAAAAAAAAAAAACACTTTAGTTTGTATTGGCGGCTACATATTTCTTTGCAGAATGACAAATTGAGGAAATAGTCTGCAAACATCAATCGCATCAGTGCAATGCTGCAAAATTATTATCTATCATCTTATATAGAATAGAGTTTACAGTAAACCTATCTGTAGAAGTAAAGTTATACAGTGGCTTGCTTGTAAGAGTGTGGTGCATGCTATGGAACCAAAATGAGATCTGATCATGAACGTGAGGGCAATTAATAGTATTATGAAGAATATTAATAAAGGAGGAGATCATGATTTTAATGACCTAAAGCGTTGCCAAAAATGATCATTAAAACGCTCTTACAATGTTTTAAAAATACCCTAAAAACAATTGATGTTAAAAAATTTGATCAAGATCACTTCATCTGAACAACTCAAGCTGTTGGATATGTTACTGATGTAATCAAGGCTTCTTGCATTTGTTTAAGAGAACTCAGCATGCAAACTTTTGGTTTGGAGTGTTCTTTAAAAGAAAATCTCTGCTTTTATGTATCGTGAAATCAGTTAAACTGACAATGGCACTGAGAGGCATCCCAGGAACCTTAGATTGCATAGTACTCACAACAGCTGACATTAGCATATATGAGAGAAGAAATCGAAAAACAACTCAGGAATTCCGTAGTAAATATATGTTGCATCTTATAAATATTGTTTGAAGCAAGTACCATTAAAATATTAAACATGAAAAAATCAGCGAAAATAGCAATTAAAATGATGTGAAAAGGTTAAAAAATGACCCATTAGTCAAAATCAATGGAAAATGCAAAAATCACAATTAAAAATGGGTAATTTCATTTTGTTATAACATATTGAATTTCTATACTAAATAGCATTGTTCTAAAGTGGAGAAAGAGAAGAAGAAAAAAAAGAGAGAGAAAAGACATTTCATTAAATTCCTCCTCTTCATGATCAGCTTCCTCCTGTCATCCAGGTGCTTAATATTGAATTTATCAAAAAGAAATTCCTATTTAGTGCCCCTGTTCTGGGTATGCACCAGTGGTCCTGAAGTACAGATACCTGAAGTTCAAAAATCCACTTTGACATTTTTCCAAAACTAATTAATCCAATCCAATCTAGGGACCAGACCACTGTTTGATACGAGAGTTTTGATCTAAGCAAAGCGAAAAATATCACTTTTAATACTTTTTAGATTACAAATTTTCCTGCCCGCTCTGATTAGAATACTTAGAGTTCTATTTACATTATTTACAAGATCCTCGATAAGATGTTTAAAAGAGCTTATTTTCAAAAATAATACAGAGATCTTTTATCATAGAAACTGTTTGCAATTCTTTCTCAGCAACCGTATAACTATTAGATTTTTAAGACTTACAGAACAACATAACCTTACATTTATCCAGATTTAGTGTTTATTTGTGTAAAATGTATCGATCATAATAGATCAAATTATCTTGTAGTTTATCACAAAACGGAAGTGATAGGTTAAAAAGTGTTTCATGTCTGCATAGGTCAGGGAGGAACATGATTAGTTCTCATTACAATCATTAATTGTAATGGCAAAAGCAGTGGTCCAAGATTGGAACCTTGTGGAACACCTGTTGGTGGTGTAAATGCTGGTGAAACGTAGCCAGTAGATTGCAGTCATGGCTCTAGCCCTCAAATAAGATTACACAAAGCATAGATAATTATGAGGGAATTCTATCGGCAACAGTTTATTTAAAATAGCATAATCTAAGACCTCAAAAGCCTTAGAGAAGTCTAAATACACATCATCAACTTGCCCATAGATACTCAAGAAGAGTGACATAATTTGAGTAAATGTTAGTAAGTTTGTAACTGCAGACCTTTGTTTCAAGAAGCCATGATGAATGCCTGAAATGTGGTTTAAAGGCCAAACAAATAATATACAAGTGACCTTCAAGAAATTTTGGAAAAATTACATAAAATTGAATGGGATCTATAATTTTCTATTTGTCCAGGATCGCCCTTCTTGAGATCAAGTCATATTTTTGCGCTTTTCCATGCTGATGGATTTACCCCATTCAAGATTATGTAGGGATGTCATATGTTCTCGCATTTTTATAGGCATGGATAATAATATTTGCATTGCTCCAGAAATACTGTTACCCATTGCACTAGGAACAGGTCCATCAGTTACTAATAAAAACGTCATAATCACTATAAACCTTCAAAAAATATTCTGTAAAGCTATTTACAATGACTTGTGGATCAGATATTGTTTGCTTAAAAGTAAAGGTTGTTAGAATCCTACTTTTCTTTTTGTTACCAGTGCTCAATGACCAAAATCTAGAAGGTTCATTGAAGGGCGATGACTCGACATTTGCTTTATAGATTTCAAATTGTCTAGATATACCTTGTTTTATATCTGTACATACGGTTTTTATCATCTTTTCAAGTATTTCTTTTTGTAAAGCATTAATATCGGAATAAACTTTAAGATGTCTTTGTAATCTATTTTTGAGATTAATTTTATTTATAACAATTTTGTCAAATCATGATGGATACATTATTAGTATTCTCATTATTAGTTCTCTTTGATAAGGTCAGAGTATGATATTGTATAATATCATAGCCTGCTAGTACGCTTAGGCATACTAGCGGGCTATGATAAAACGAACCAATTTAAGATAGAATACACAAACAATATCATCAATACTCACTATATCCCTACTTGATAAAATTTCCAGCCAGTTGTATGAGATAATATTACTATTAATTAGTTCATAGTTAGCTTTATAATAATTTAAACTCATAGATTCCAGTGATGAACTACAAGGTTTCATATGCTCATTGGTATTAACAAAAAAATCTATGTCGAGTGGAGGGTAAGAGCTGTCAATTCTAAATATCGTGCACTTCAGAAACCTTACACAAAAAAATACTGAAAACAAGATCTAACTAGCGTTTATTTACAATCTTTACATTACTGTATAGTTTCAGGTTATAAAAATTATCAAAAGTGATTCAACCTTACTATTCTTGGTAAAGAAAACTGCTGACATCAGATAAAGTAAAGTTAAGAATGTTTAAATTCCCAATAAGTAATAAATTAACTTCTCATAAGATGTTAAGAGCCAAAAGCTCATCAAAAAGAACTTCCAGTGTAAGCGAATCCATATTTGGAGGTAGATTTAAAGTGATAATATTAAAAATATGTCCAATATTAAATCCATTTGGAAATTTGTAAATAACTTGATAGGGGTAAGTGGTCTGCCTAATTTCATGTATTATGGTGATGAATAAGCTGATTCCTCACCGAATATTGTGAAATTATTTGCAAAGTATTTTGAGTTTATGTATAGAACTGATTTCGGTGTATCCTTGATTGATCCTAAATATGATGCTATTGTAATGAATATTAATATTGGTGGTTTGACTATATCACAGTATCATTAAGTTGTTAAATGGCAGAATAAAATGAATTATTAGTTACTGAGACTAGTTACTAATTATCATATTTTTAAAAAGCTTGATAATATGTTGGTACAGTACCATATTTACCTGAATATAAGACAAGCTTTTTTCCTAAATACCTCAGTCAAAAAATATGGGGATGGCTTATATTCGCAGATTAAGTCTAGTCGGTGAGGCTTTGTTTTTTCATTGCCTTTCCAAGACACGAAACTTGTAAATGTTGATGTAACAATAAGCTGTGAAGGCGGTCAAAATATTGTGCTTATCTATAATACATAACTATGTTCGTGGTTGTATTTTCAGTATCACAGCAAATTCTCTCAGCAATTCAGACTTGATGATGATGCTTTTGAATCGGCCAATGAAGAGAGAATCTCAAACAAATGGCATTGTTACAAGTGAAACGTAACATGAAAATGAATACTGAGATTTGTTAAACAGCACGTGTTTGATGCCCTGTGAGTGCAGGTCTGTGTTGTGCAAGAGACTGAAATGAAAAATCATATTGATGTTTGTATTTTACATCAAACCACAGTAAAAGATGATGAAAAACATTTTCATAGCAAAAACCAACCTAAACTTAAAAACGACACAATCTGCCAGTTTACCCGCGAAACAGAGGGTCAGAGAAGTATGAGTTGCAGTTCAAACATTGCCCATCAATAATTGCTGGAACAGATAAAAAATCTAATGACTCAAAAGGGAATGTTCTTAAGTGGTGTTAGTTGAAAGACTGAACAAAACAAAATCAGGACGCAAATGTTTCAGAAGTGCCTAAAAAGTTAGATGTGACAGCATGGAAGGAAGCCCAAAAAGAAAGGAACATTGATACATGTGAAGATAATTAGGGTAGTGACAAAAACAATGATTGTGATTTTCAGGAACAAGAAAATAACCGTTCGGGAGGTTAACTTTTGCTCAAGCCTCTGCTACTCGTAATGTGAAGGTTGATGTTGACAGTGATGACATAAATTTTGCTAAGGAAAAACTGGAGAAGTTTTGGAAAAACGTTCTAATTGTTTAGGGTACACCAAAAATTCACCATGTGATTGCTTTATCTGCAGTATACAAGAACAAATAAAAAATTTTCTTTCAGTTTCCTGTGAACTAACTTTTTATCTTTGGCTGGAAGTACTTATAAAGAATTAGAGTTACAAATAAAGCGAAAATTAATTATAAGAACAAGCGAAATGTTCCATTGTTTGAAACTTGTGACACTTTTATCTAATGTAATGTCCATTTGGAAGTCACATTACTGATGCGCAGCATATTCTAAAACAAATTTGTGACTGAAACCATTAATAAATCAGATTTTTGTTTTCAGTTCAGTGGAACATTTATATTTCATTTACCAACAAATGCAATTTTTATTACTTTTCCAGTTTTGCAGCAAAATATGAAAATGTTTTGTACTACTTCACATCCGGTGAAAAAATTGTCACACTACTGACGTGTAAATTAATCTGTGACAGCATCAATAAAATACAATCTTTTTAGTTTTTACAAAATTTGGAGGGAAAACATGCAAGGGCTTATACAATTTATATGTGATAAAAAAAATTTGAAGATTATTAAAAGAACAATTAGTTGAATTCCTCAAAATAGTTGCAATATGGTCACATTACTGACGAACGTTCCCCAATGTGACGTTTTAATTTCAATGTATGATGAAATATGACACACTTACATTTGAATTTACTCTATTTCATGATTTATTCCATCAATCTAATAGTCAAATGCCCTCTTCCCTCCCAGTTGCCCTCTTAATTCCCAAATGAACTACAATAACATATAATTAATTATCACAGGAGTACAAATAAGAAATGTTTTGAAAGATCTGACCCTTGAAACCACACTTTCACATACAGAATTTCTTGCTTGGTCCTCTTTAAAAGCAATAATGAAGGGATTATTGGGCAACAGAATGGTCGAAGGCAACTGCAAGAACATGGGCATGCACTACACTTATGGGACTAATGACCTTTATGGTTTGTGTGCCCAGAATTGCTGACCAATCAATCCCAAGATAAAAACAAGCACTACACTTATGGAAATAATAACCTTAGCTATTTACTTGCCCAGAAACATCACTCTGTGGTTCTTGAGTTTAGATCAATAAAAACAACTTTTCATTGCCGACATTTCAACCCATTTATTTAGAAATAAAATGAGAAAGTATGTTCTGTTGTAGCTTCACTACTTCAAATTTCACTTGAACTTCTGGTAAACCAATCAGACCTCTACATATTTTACATTAGCTTGTTGATCAGATGTACAGTATCTCTAGTTATTTTATGCGTCTTTATGTGAAAATTCTTTTCCCTCAATAATTTTTACAGATTGTTAGTATTCCAAGGGGCTTTGATGATGATGATGACGACGACGATGATTACAATATAATAATAATAAAACCCCGCGAAGTGCTCGGTGCATAGCACATTGAATTCGCAATTGGGAGGTCCAGGTTCGATCCCCGGGATGGCCATTCTGACTGGGATTTCCCTTGGTCATGCTGGGATGGTTCTACAAATCCTGCAGGCACCTCCCTCTTCCCACTGCCCCACCTACCACCTCCTACAATCATCTAGTACTTTCACCCCTCATCACCTTACCACTTCAATAATAATAATAATAATAATAATAATAATAATCATAACAATAATGATAAGTGTGTGTCTGTTTCATCATCATTTCACCCCATTCCCAGGGCTTACAACCTTAGGGTGTAAAAATGGAATCACCATTAAATGCAGATCACCCACCAATACAAAAGTAATGTGTACCTACCCTGATAATCATGACTAAGCCCCGGTGGGATGCACATATGGCAAGACCCCATGTTAGCCAATTTGCAAAACAAAAAATAATAATTATAAAAAAAGGAAACTAACTATAATAGTAAATGACCCTTTCTTGATGTGCCTTTTTTTTCTCTCTCAGAAATGAATATCAATATTTTTTCTTGCAGGGTGAACTGGCTAATACAGTAACTGCGGGAGGGAGGTCATTGTCAGCTGATATTGCAGATTGGAATCCTTTTGAAGATTCAACTCCTTTCAGTCAGTTGACTGAAGATCACATATTTGGTGCAGAATTTGATAAAATAAGAAGGGGATCTCAAAGTAGTAAGTTTTCTTTGTTCCTTCTTTTTCTTTTTTTCTTCAATACTTTTAAGTTTTTTGGTTAGATTATCAAGAAATTTATTATTTACTATTGATTTTACTTCTGCTTTTGCGAGCAAGATTTTTTTAAATTTCATTTTGCTCATGCTTAATGTAGCACATATTGCACACTTCACACAGTGTCAGCTTCACACAATGTTAGCACACAAGTTAGCCTGATATTGACAAATTGTTATGCAAAAAAACACTTTTGTTGTGTTGCTTTATTCTGTAATATGACATATGAAAAAATTAAATGCGATTTTGAACAAATTCGTTGAATAAGTGAACATTTTATTTATTTATTTATTTATTTATTTATTTATATACGTATAATTACAGGCAATCGCCCAATTATTAAATATCATTTACATTATCATTTATATTACAGTATTATTGAAAATCATTTAGTAACAGGTTTTTATAAGTTTTTTAAAATTGATAAGGTGAACAAAATAAGTTAATGCGGTTACAGTTGGCACTTCTACACATTTTCCATAATGGCGCATAATAGTACAAGGTTGATCTCGCAAAAGGAATATTAAATAACATGCTGTTTGTAGAACGCAGATCACGCACTGGATTAGCCCAAGGAATTTTACAATGTAATTCTGAAGAGTCTATATCATGATTTATCAAATTATACAGAAAAAGTACATCAAAATAATCCTATGGGAGCGTAATGAGCTAATATTTAATCTAGTTGCGACTTGGAAATAATTGTGACTAAATCTAGGAGATGGAATATCAAGCTTGAAGGCAGCAAAAATAAAAAAATTGTGCTGAACAATTTCAAGTCTAGAGATATGGTTCTGGTAAAAGGGAGACCATATTTGTGAGCCATATAATAATATCGGTCTTACCAGAGTTAAATATAAAGTTTTAATGGTTTGCACATTAGTAAATTCAGATGTAAATATGTCTCACAAATCCTAACATCTGATTTGATTTATTAATAATGTCATCAATATGTAGATGAAAACTCATTTTTTGGTCAAAAATAACACCCAAATCTCTAAAGTATCAGACTGATTCCAACATTGAATCTCCTAGTTCATAATTTAATACAATGGTATTACTAGATCTAGTAAAAGACAAGGACTTACATTTACCATTATTCAAATTCAAACATTTTGATGA